CGTCTTTCTAAATTTTAACGCGTCTTAGGGCCGTAGTGCGGTAGTGACACTTTTCCGGACATGGGTCCCTATACTCAAATGTTTTCTACTGTTGCACTGAATAACCCCTAGAAGTTTGATCCCATAGTTCTGAAACACCCTGTATATATATATGCATTTTTATAATGTTAATTTTAGAAAGACGTTAGATATTTATCAATTGTTTCATTATTTTGTTATTTTAACTGTTTTCTTAAAGTCGCGAATTTAAAACTGCATCATCAGTTTACGTAAATCATACTTAATGCGAATACTTAATTGTGTTGAGCACATACAGTATTTGAACAACTGTGTTTTGATGTTTTCTTTTGCTATAATTAATTAGATCTGGCGTTACAACACAGTGTTCATCAAACGTTGTTCGAGTTAATATTGCGTGAGTTAATAAGCCTATTGTCTTTTACGATGACAGATCCGTTCGTTTTTATCTGATAAACTTTATTGAGCGGATTATATGGAATATATATGTCTATACGGAAGAGACAAAGTTCTTTCACTTGCTAACTTTATTTATTATATTCTCGGCGACTCTACTCCTGACAAGATTGTGCAACAGAATTCCCCACGTTTATTTGTTATTTGAAAATAACACGTGTATCTGTGATATTTTAAAAATATTTAATTATCGTCGAATGTGTCAGTATTGGTGTGAGTGATCGTTTGATTTCACATTTAAAAAGTGCTAATAGAGATTATTATTTTTCAATTTCCGTCGTAGACACAAAATTTAAAACTCGATTGTTTCTTTTTTTTTATTCACGCAGGAATTAATGAAAGGATCAATAAGATACGATGAGAGACAATTTGCGAGTTAACGATCTTCTCGGACATACGAAGTACGGCCACGTAATCGTCCATCTTCTCGTAATATTGTTCGGTACGTCCACTTGGATAGGTGTCAATGGGATATTTGTAGAACTGCCGTTGCTCGTCAATATCGCTCCAGAAGGTTGGAATCTACCCGCGTACATAGTTATAGCTACGCAATCCGCGAATGTGGGACCTGCGATTTACGGCTTCCTGCGCAAGTGTAAGTGCGAGATGAACGAATCGTTGTGCATACTGTGTTTATTGTTCCTGCAAATTATCGCAATGGGTTTGCTGATATTTTTCTACGACAAGACTACCGTCGTTGCCGGCGAGAGACACAGTCTAGTTCTGTTCGTCTCGGTGTTACTCGTCGCTCTGGTCGGTTGTTTCAGTTCCGTGCTCTTCATGCCCTATCTTCGCGATTTCGATAACGTTTACATCGTATCTTACTTCATCGGAGAGGGTCTGAGCGGTGTGCTACCGAGTGTGGTCGCGTTGATACAAGGTGTGGGAGAACGCACGGAATGTAACACCGTTCTTGACAATACATCGAAATCGGAAATTTATCCGAACTCGGGATCCGGCTTGAAGTTCTCAGAAAGATACTACTTTCTGTTTTTGACCCTCGCACTTGTCTCATCGTTCGTCGCATTTATCATTCTGCGATATTCACCGTTTGTGCAAAGTAAGAAGAACCTGTGTGACTCCAACTTTCTCGCGCGAACCAAAGTACAATTAGTTAATTACAAGCGACACAACGAGTTCGGTGTTACCGCTGATGCTTACCACACCGATGAAACATCTAAGAGAGACAGCGAAACAAATTGTTCTTCGATTGATGTAGCGAATAATAATTCGCCCGCGTTAAAGAAAATTTATTTGTACATTCTGATAGGAATATGTTGCTTCTTCAGTAATGGACTTCTTCCGAGTATACAATCGTACTCGTGTTTGCCGTACGGCCACGTTGCTTATCAGCTGTCCATCACCTGTGCTCAATTTATAAACCCGCTTGCGTGCTTCCTGACATTTTGGGTCATGATATCGAACGTCACAGTTATTAATTGTCTATCCGCGGTGTGCTTAATTGTCGGGAGTTACGTTATATGCATAGCTTCGTTATCTCCTGCTCCGCCGTTGCGGGAATCAACAATCGGTGTAGGATTAATCGTTCTGTCCTGGACAATTGTCATGGGCGTCATATCGTACTTAAAGCTCGTAATTGTGTCTCTCTTGAAACACATATCATCCTCGAAAGCACTTTTCAATGTAGGCGCGATCATGCAAGTGGGTTCGGCGAGCGGTGCGATTGTTGCTTTTGTTTTGATTAATTTCACAGATGTTTTTCAGTCGTACGATCCTTGTTTAGGAAACAATAGCACAATCCAAAGGTCCGTGGAATAATTAATTTAATGAAGCGCGCGTAACTGTTGTGTTTGACATGCGATATTGCAAAGTGCAATAAAAAATTGTAAGCGGACAATAACGCTTTTGAATAATGAAGTGTCTTTTCTTCTGTGAAGACATCAAGAAATAAATAACATTGTCTTATATATATTTTTACTCTAAGATTGAATGTAATAGTCTATATATCCGAATCCATAAAGCGGAAAGATATATATTTTGTGCAAGTAGAGATTTTTGTCAGCATGATATAGTGTGCGTGTGTGCATGTTAATTTCAATAAAGTATTCCGTTAATTAAACTAGGTCGAGAGATTTCAAACAAGTTGAAGACTTGTGTACTATGCATTGTGCATTTACAATCCTTTTGTACGTCCATACATTCAACAAATATGTAGACAAATGTAAATGGTGAGGGAAGTGTATCTTCGCACACATAAGTCTAGTAATATAGAGGTAATAATACCTCAAAGTGGATCTTTAGTTAAATAATTAATCGCATGTGCAGTATTGTTCGGATAAACGCTGCAATTCTCTTGAGAGACGATAATAAAAGAAAATAGAAAATTTTACGATGGAACGAGGGTATGTCCAGGTATGTCGCTGTTCGAATCTCGAGACACTCTACGTAAAAAAAAAGAGTAAAGAAGACAAAAGAGTAGAATAATGAGATGTGTGTTTAATACGTTTTTTTTTTTTTTTTTTTTTTTTTTTGCAGTGATGATACTTTTGAGCCGTTTAAAAGACCCGAGCAGTACTGCATATAAATACACAGTACGCAGATATATAAATACTGTACATACATAGAGATACACGGTACATAACTGTGATTACATCGATATGTAATAGGGCACAAATTGCTAAAATATTTGAATGTAGATATATATATATATATATATGTATATATAAATATATATATGTGTATATATAAAATGTGAATAGATATAAATTTCTAATGAGCCTTATAACAAACATTTTTCTTATATAAATTTGTTGTATAATTGTCGCGTAGAACTTTATAAACTGTTGTCAAAAATAAAATGCTTTTTGCGAATCTAAATCTTTTTTATTTGTATCTCCTCGAGAAATTACTTTTATACATATCAAGAAGCACACTAGTACGTATAGTATGTAGATGTGTCATTAAAGTATATTATATATAGTGGATATTAAAATTATTTATTATTTATTATCTTCACCGTTTTTAATATCAATTTCTACTTTGTTAAAACGTGCAATTAACAACATACTTCAATATTTAAATATTTTCGCAGAAATTTTTCAACTTTTCTTTTTAAAGAGCGTGTTTACATAGATGTATCTTCTTTGACACACTTCTTGTAGATGGCGCTACTTCGCGGTTGTGTGCGTTCAATCAGCTGTATAAGGACGTCAACACGATACCTGTCACCGTACAGTAATATGTGACAAGTCGTTATCGTATCCGACAGTGTTTATAGTATTATAAAAGTTTTCTTTATTCATTCTACAACATCAGTTCTCTCGAGCAGAACACTCGACAATCGAATGAGAATATTCAGAATTGCACAGAGTGAGAAAAAATGGACGACAAGAATGAGAGCAACGTCTTCGATAACAAAGAAGACGCACAACTCTCATTGTTGGATCTCCCGATCGAGGTTCGTATCGACAAAAGTATAAATTCTCCTATTTTTCGCACACTAATACATATATGTGACATTCACTGCTCGTTGTCGCTGCCGTTTCGTCCTGTTAATCGCTCGTTAGTGCAGCAAGATATTGAGAAAGTGATCGCCTTTCTCTCTTCTATCTTTGTGTGTGTGTATATCTATTTCGTGCGCTTATCGATAAATTTTTTTACTATGCATTTCAGATATTCCTGCATATATGCTCCTTTTTAGAAGCGTCGACGGTAGTACACAGTTTGAGCTTAGTCTGCAAACAGTTTCACCTGATTTTAAAGGATGACTCATTGTGGAAATCGCGAATTAAACAAATATGGCCAGATGTTAACTATCCAATCTTGCATCCTGGTTAGCTCAAATTGATAGCGTCTTATGCCTTGCACACAACTACTTATTTTGTAAATAAGTACTAAACACTATATCTATCACAGTTTAGATTAGTGCTAATGCTGTTCAAACTTTTGCGCTTGCAGATGTAAAACAAAAAACTATAGTGCTTGTCTCAAATTTCATTTACTCACGTGGTGCTTTATTTTTTTCGACGACAAACAGATAACAAAATTATGCACATTTAAATTTTATACATATATTTATATTATTTATTACCTTACTTAGTATTTATTACCTTTTGAACAAGTTTGAACAGCCTCGTTTATTGTAATATCTTGATATATTTTGCAGTAGTATGTAACTTAAAATCTCTCTCTAAAAAATTTGTCTATATATTTAGTAATTTTTTATTTTTTATTTTTTTTATCACAATCATATTTTCAGCAACCTCTGACAATCTGTTTTGGAAATTGTCATGTGTTGCAATCGAGAAAGAAACCGCACAATGGAGAAACTACCCTGCGTCTGTGAACAGTTACACTATAAATGATTCGTACAGCACAATAGACGCCCTTTTATTAATAGAGGTTGGTAGTACTCACTTCAGAATACATTTCGAACATCTATTTTTTTCTTATCAATATAAATGTGACTTCAATAGAACGGAGCAGCTGGTATAGCTGGTGCCCGAGATCGCAGTTTGTTTTATTGGAGAAATGATGATTCCAATGTGGATCTCTTAAAAAAAGATTTTCTGGAAGTCTCCATTGAGTCTGCACATAATGGGTGGATTTGGGATCTGACCAAAATAGACGACACGCTTTATAGCTGCGGATGGGATCAAACTGTCAAATCGTGGGCGCTTCTTACAACTGGTCTCTTCCGTAAACAAATTTACGAGCTGTACATCATAATGCAACTTTCTTTCAATCACTTCGTAAAAAAAAGAAGCGCGCAAATTTTCAATATAAAAATTTTGCAGGACTACGGCTGGTGCGCTTCTGTGTATATCGTCGTGTCCGGAACAATCCCTTTTCGCAACCGGAGGTTACAACAGAAGCATATTCATGTTTGACTCGAGAATGGGCACTAAGCCATTCAAACAATATCGACCGCACACGGCAGCTGTTATTAAACTGGCCATGAACTCGCAATACATCTTATCTGCCAGTGAAGATAAGACAGTGTCTATTTGGGACCAGAGAGCTAAGCGAGTCTTAAAGTCTATCACTGTAATTAACATATATTGTTAGACTTATTTTGTTTTTTTTTTCAACAAAAATAGAATATCGTACGCTTACGATTGTGTATCATAAATATTTTCCAGATTTCAAATGAAGCTTTTCCCATGTGCATAAGTATGCAACAGAATTGCGTGTGTGTTGGAGACAACGTCGGAAATGTGCATATACTGAATCCACGGAAAAACTTCGAATTGGTGAAATCTTACCCTACTGGACATACAAATACAATAACTGGGATTCATATGACTCGCGGATGTCTGATAACGAGTTCTACAGACGGTACAGTTAGAATATCCAGTGCTACAGACCCGCCAAAGATCATCACCACATTAATTTCTGGTTTTGGAGAAATCGCTGGTGTATGTATTGGAGAAGTTAAATACTGAATGTGTTTAGAATAAAGAAATGTGAGATTCAGAATACAAATGTGTATATGTATGATATAATAAAATTGATTTTATTTTACAGATGGATTATTTGAACGGAGTTCTTGCAATATCCGGTCCCGAAATCACAGTAATTCATCCTAAGTTGAAATAATGATAAACGAATTTTTTATGTGTTGCTTTGATACGTATATGTGTTTATTACTACTGAAAAAACTAATCTCTCTTACACACAATACGCGTTATTCTAATATATAATATATCGCCTTCCAAATATACTATATCAATTTATTGAAGATTGATTTAACATTTATTTATTTAATAAGAAATTCGTTTAACACATTTATTTATTTAATAAAAGCTTTATAAACATAGACGTATTTATATATACTAAGAACTCGAGTTTTGTAATAATTGATCATTTACATTGAGAAAAATAGAATAGATATTTTCATATTTCGCGTTTTTATATATGTGCGTATTTTGCATTTTACGTATTGTATTTCTATGTCCGTCATTTTCTCAATCTCTCGTTAATTTTTTGGGGAAATTGTTTCATCATTAAAACTGATTTTACTTTCTCCATAAACGTTCGAAAAATACCAAAAGTTGTAACATATATAAAAAAATTTAATGTAAAAAATTATAAAAATAAATTAAAATATACAAACTCTATTTTAAACCCGCGAGTCGAAGGATCTTTTTTCTATATGTCCTTCTGTTAAACATAACAAAAGTTCGAACTCAAAACTTTTGTTTTTCTGGAAAAACGCGCGCAAGAGTGTAAATAGTTTCATAAGTCGAAGAAAAAAACTTGTAACGCACCTGTTTACGCTGTCACTTGATAAACTTGAACACGAAACAATCGACGAGTGCATTCGTCTACTACCTATACGCTACTCTTGAATTATTACATCGCTAAGAGCCGGTTGTTCCACCTTTCGATAAATCTCAGCTTACTCGACAGGTTATTATCTATAAGATAAGAACTTGACTAGCGTATCTTCCACTGTTTTTTATTTCTACATGTTTCTCTTAGATACGACTTACACGGTATCGAGAGTGCCGTCTAATTTATCTTTTGGTTTCTGGTCATTTACCAGATATATAAATTTTACCGACACGTGGAACACAACGCAAATCAGGGCCGGTTGTTCCACTTTCAGGTAAACTATCGGGTAATCGATCTAATGGTTAAAACTCTGATTTGCGTTGTTCCACGTGTCGGTAAAATTTATATATCTGGTTAAATGATCAGAAACCAAAAGATAAATTAGACGGCACTCTCGGTACCGTGTAAGTCGTATCTAACAGATAAATATGTAGAAAAAAAAAAACAGTGGGGAAGATGCGCTAGTCAAGTTCTTATCCTATAGATAATAACCTGTCGAGTAAGACTGAGATTTATCAAAAGCTGGAAAAACCGGTCCTCAGAGTTTTAACCATTAGATAGATTATCCGATAGTTTACCTGAAAGTGGAACAACCGGCCCTAAATGCAGCAACGATAGTTTTGCGCGCGCGTGATGGTTTGCACATCAGAACACAAACTTCAAACTTCGAACTCGTCGAGACGTCACGTGACGTACTGCGCAGGTTGTGCGACGCACTTCAAGCGATTACGTTCGGCGAGTTTCAGTTTTTCGTAAAACTCGGCAGCTTGTCGCGTTCGCGTCTTGTTGTTGCGTGTTTACTTCACGCCGAACGACAACTCGAATGTTGTTTACGTGTCACACGCGAACATAAAAAGCGACTTTCGTCAGTTTTTCACTTGAAACAATTTTACTCTGTACGCGCGCCCGCTTGAAAAGAGAAATTCGCGGCTGCGAACGAAGAGGTTAGGCTTGCTGACTCACGATGGCGCTAAATTCGTAAAATCTCGCAAAGTTCAGCGGAGAATAGTACGGTAAATTTTTTTTTTTTTTATGTGTGATATCCTTGAAACAAGCGGCAGTATAAAAGGAACAATAGCGAATCCTTTTCGTGGATCTTGCATCTTGTGATTGCATTCGAGACAGCAGCGGCATCGGTAAGTCGAATATTTGTGAACTTTTCTTAGAATTAATACTCGAGAGAAGCAGCGAGGAAGAAAGCGTTAAGAAAACGCTCTTGGCGGAAACTTGTTAAAAATAATTATGAAACTAAAAATATAAAGGAACATTTTTTTTATATTTAAATAAACGACACATATAAAAATTAAATATACATAAAAAAATATATATAATATATACACGACCGGCCCAGTGGTCTCGCGGCCTGAGTGCAATGGCTGCGAGCGGGGAACAAGTCCCCGAGTTCTCTACACCGTCGGATTTTTCCGGGTCTTTTTCAAATCGAGTTTATCGATTGAAAAAACGAACTGAATCCGGGCCTCGAATCAGCTCAAAATTGTGTGTGTGTGTGAGAGAGGTTACAATTATTTCTTTACATTCCTCTTCCAATCAATAAAAATTTCTTTATACACGTATACACGTATATGTATATGTAGTGGAACAATAAAAAAATATCAGAAAAACATAATACGGACGTAAATATAAGGAAGAAATGGAACGGGGAGAGAGAAAGGATAAATATACAGAGCGGTTATAGCAGCAGAATGCACAAAGTCTGACCTGTTGACTTTTTGATTCACCCGTTTATTCGCGCAAAACAAGAATAGACTTGGATATATCCTGTGTCGCTAATTGTACTCCACATTTACACATCCGTCCTTATACATACAATATACATACAATACATACAGTCGCGTGGTACGCATCCCCCAGAATAACGAAATGCGTTTATGCACACACACTCATTTTATATATTATATGTATGTGTATATAATAGTTTTACAGTAATTGATTAGGATACGATTCTTCAGCCCTTTCTAATCTTTGTTCTCGTACGCTCGAATTTAACAGCTTTAAGCATCGTGTATGTATGTATGTGTGTGTGTGTGTGTGTGTGTTTTTTTTGTATAATTGTGCGCGTGTGTATCTGAGTATATACGCGTTTGTATGAGTATTTTCTTCATTCGTACGTGCGCTACGCTTCTGTCTCTCTGTCTCTACTCTACAACGTGTACAACATTCGTCACAAAAACATCCAATGTCGTTGTCGTCTACAAGTAAAATACAAAACTAGGCAGCGAAAGTTGGCGTGTTTCGTAGTTAAAAGTGTATCGTTTGCTCACACGTGTTGCGTGTTTTCGCGTCCATTCACAACAGAGAAAAAGCAGAAGAAGATGAAAAGAGAAAAAAAACAAACTTAAAAACGTATCTGCGGACGTGCACGCACGCTAGCAGCTTTCCCGCGTGCGTATCCTCGTTTTGCGCGCGTCAACGCAAAGAACGAATCGAGCGCGCGATTCGTTCGGCCGATGTTTCTAACGTTGCATTAGATAAGAGAATGCTGATTTTCAGATACATTTTAAGACACACTCGAGTGCTCGAGGAATCAGGCCGACTTCGAAACAAAATACGCACGCTTGAATCAAAGTACGCGAAACAATTTGCTCTCGAAGCAAGATTTACATATATTCGTCAAACTGTACATTTTAAAAACAAAAAATACGGGCTTTGAAAAACTTTGATCTTTTCCTGCTGACTATTGTTAGCACAAATATAAATCTTGTCGTTGCGCAAAAATGTTAAAAGCAAAAAATAAATGCAAATGAATATAAAAAAAATTTATGTAGAACAGTTCGGTAAAAAAATGTAAAAAGTTTTTTTAAACGCTTGTTTTTCAAGCGCGTGTGTGTTTCCGAAGCCGGACCTGAAGCCTGCGATCTGAAATCGCTGAGACGGAATGATTTCAATACTGATTTTGGAATGGTTCGTGATCCTCTCTCGATTAGAGTGGCGGTCGTGTCGCGGAACACAGCGGGAGATTTTTGTGACACGCGTTTGTGGTGTTTCGTATTCGAAATTATTAAAAGAGCAAGTGATATACGCAAAAGAAAACAAATTATATAAGTTGTTAAGTTTGTTTCCTTATGTAATTTTTTTTCTCAAAAATAGATTTATGTCAGAAGAAATAAATGACTATTTGGAAATCGGCTCATTTGGTGGCAGCGCGAATCGATTTTCCGAGTGTCGTTCCTGTGTATTATTATTTTGTTCCCGTCGGGACGAGTAGTCCCCCAGGTTTCGATGTTTCTTCGGGATTGTTTCGCACACTCGGAAAATCATCCGATTGAACGTCTTGCTTCAAAGAATGCGAGCGACTTCTCCGGCTGTGTTCGCGACGCTGTTATCTCGATACATAGGTATGCGCGCGCTAATACTTTTGCTCCGTTGTATGTGTGTTGCTTATATAACTTAAGAACGTGAAAAAATAAATAAATACTACGCGTTTTTATGCGCGACTGGTTCCTGCCACGAACCCCGCCCGACCGAACACGGAAGAAGAACGCTGCGAAACGGCGCAATTTGCGCGTGTCTATCGAATAAATTACAGAGAGAGATGTTCTTATCCTTCTCTCTTGTCTCTCAACGAAGCACCTTTAAGGATGTCGCGCGTCCATCTTGCACACACACTCAAGTTGCACAATCGAATATTGTTGACATTCTGCCAGCGTTTTCTTTCACCGCGTCGCCCAGTGCGTTCACCCGGGCGGTGAACGAACGTCGTCGCATAAAAATTTACTATAATAACAACAATAATTCTACTACGATAGTAATAATAATAGTAATAAAAAAAAAAAAACTGCGCGATCAGTTCGAGCGACCTTTATTATTATGTATTGTTATAATTATATTTTAAGCAGTCAAAAGTTTAAAAAAATTTTCTAATTAATTAATTTACTTTATTCTTACACATTATTTACTTTAAAATAAGAAAATACTAGAAGCCAAAAGAGACAGAACTTAATTTCAAGTTATTATTCAAGTACATTATTCGCGTTTTTAGCCAAAATATTTTTAGTCGTGTCATGTGATGTGATTAAGTTTCAAGAGATTTATACCTATCATCGGTATATTTTTGTTGTGTCTGTCACGCACACGTGTTTTCCAAACAAACAAAATTGAAGGTTTCAACTTAAATAACGAAAAACATGAAGAATGGTAATAGTAATAAAAATATAATCGTGTGTATGTGTGTGTATGTATGTGTGAGATAATAAGTGAGTAATAATAATAATAATATATATAGGTTTATATTAACTACGTAGAGTGATGGATGACGACGATCAATAATTAATTAATGATTAATCGAAGAAAAACGAGTGGCGTGGTGCGCGAGAGCACAGATATTTTATCGACTAGAATTCGTATAGATTCGCTGTGTGTTGGGTCTGTTTGCGTGGCTCAATCGTTACCGTTTCGCTTCCTGTCTCGTTATATGGTATGTTATTGTTTAAATAACTTCATTCCTCATCGTGTCAAACAACGACGCGACTCACCGCAAAGAATCGCCGGTTTGTCTCTCTTTCTCTCTCTTTCTCCGAATTCTCTTATCATACTCTTTTACCGCACTCTGATGTTAACAGAACGACGTTCATCTCTCTGTTCGGTGAATATTAAGAGAGAGAGAGAGAGAGAGAGGAAGAGAGAAGAGAAGAAAGAAAGAGATAACATATTAAGAAACAGAACAACTTTATGAACTTCACAGACGTTGTATGTCGTTGCGTCTTTCTTCGGCAATCTCCAGATTGAACCTTTTGAAACTTTGCGAAGATCCTGGAATGGAACTCGGAATTCTTGAATTTCTGTGTGGAATGTCCGAATGTTCACTCTTGTGTAAGATGAAACAATTGTCAAATTTCTCAAAATTCGCGGAAATGAACATTAGAGATTTCTTCTTCCCGGTCTTTTTTTTTTTGTCAAGACAGAAACATCGCATCTTCTTCGTCAATTTTCTTCACGTGTGTGTGTGTGTGTGTGTATGTGTGTATATACGTGTGCATGTGTCGCGTGGTATGTCTCCTTCGTGGTGCGGCGCGTCGTTGCTCCTACTGTGTCCCGTTTACTTCTTGCGACCACCAATTATGGTGGCCATCTTCTCGAAATTTTCCTTCTCGTCCTCAAGCAGCAACGCTTGGATGCAGCTGGTGAAGTATTGTGTAGTGAAGCATTCTTGCCTGTGATAAAAAGATCGAGAATATAGATTGAGATTAGATCGCTGGTTTAATACAAAAGCCATCGACACACTTGTGTCTGATGATGCGTTTCACAGAATCTGTTTGCGAGTTGTCATTCCAATGCAAATAAGAAAACAATTTTCAAAATGGAAATTTACGTCGAATTTAAATCACAGAGATAATTTACCGCAAGATTTTTTTACCGTCTGGATTGAGACTTAATGGATACTTATAGCTCTCTTGATTGTACACCTGTATAAATTGTACAGGATTATATAAGAAAATTTATAAATATTATGATGAAAAATTTTGTAATTTTATCTTCAATAGAGAAAATTTTTTTTTTAATATTTAAAGTTTATATACACAATCGTGTATGTGCATTTATATATGTGTATATATATATGCATTTTGATATACATTTACTTTTGAACAAATAAAGCGAACAGATCTGTGTGTTAGTAATTGTTAGTGTACAGGTAGACATTTGAACGTGTGTGTGTGTGGGAAAGTGTTGATTGTTTCGCATTCATTATTGTAGCATTAAGAATTTGCGTACATGCTACAAATAATAGAATGCAATCAAATTTAAAAAATGTTTAAAAAATCACAAAACTATTCAAAAAATGTCAAAAATTGTTTAAAAATTACAAATATTGTCATTCAAAAATCCTCTCCTACGTCGCGAACCTGCTCCTTTTCTTATCATCCTGAAAAAGTAGTAATGCAAAAACATCGACGAGATGCAACAATGTGCAAAAATATCAAAACCTCATTCATAAATTTGTCGTCAAAAATCATTGACAAATTTGTCGTCAAAAAGACGAAAAATGTTTGTCGAGATGAAGAAAGTGAAGTCAGAATGTACGAGATGATGCTGTGTTACATTACCAGTAATGTTGCATTTTTCGTTAGTAAATAATATATAAACAAATAATATATATAATTATCACAAAATCTAAACGTTTATGTGTATAATTTCTACTAATTTTTCAAATAATATTTTTATAAATGTCCAAATTCTATATTGTTGAAAAAAAAAAAGATTTTTTGTTCACACTTCCAATTACAGTAAGCAGTCAACAACCAAATCAAGACATTCTAACATTCAATTCGTTTCTTGTTGCAACATTACTTGCTAGTACAAGCTACATACAAAATTACCTAATTTCTCGTACGTATTATATCTCGTCGAGAAGATATTATAATATGCGCGGATATTCGTCCAGGGGATGGCATCAAAATGCAACAAAAATATAATTTGAAATAATAACAAAAGAAACTGTGGTATATAAATAAAAATTGTGTACATAACTCGGAGATAGGACTTGCAATATTTGTCTTTTTTCAATTATATAAAATACGATTTGTTCCAGACTTAAATTATTTAAAAAAATCAAATGAGATATTCATTCAATGTTTTGTAAATGAATGTGTAAGTAATTTATAATATGTCTCTATTATTACATTAATGTCACTTAATTTTATTTTTAATTTTATCTGAAAACCTGACAAATGGTCAGTGTTTCAATTCGAACACCCCGTGCATTAGCAAAACAACTGTCTCGACTGTTTGTAATTTATGTATCCACAAATTTTTTTAAACTCTCGTTATTAAGTGTATAATCGCGCGAAGACTTTTTACAAACATTTAATATACGTGAAGAATATTTGAAATTATGTATTATCGAACGTGTATACAGGACCAAAGCAGACGAGTAAGAATTTTTAATAAGAAGGCAAGCGGGTGTGGTTAATCGTTTATATTTGCGAAAAGCGGATAAAAAAAAAGGGATGCGTAAAAAGAGAAATCATAAACTAAAAAGAAAAAACAACCTAAACCCCGGGATCGGCTCCGTGAAGTTGTTTGATCCACATTTGGATCTTTTCGACTTCGTCCGTAAGCAGCAAAACGTCTAAGCATCCTTTGAAGTAGTCCGATGTGAAACATTCCTTTCTGCGAAAAGTTAAAGAGAAAGTCCCACGATAAATTAATAATCAAACCGCATCGAAAAGCAAAAGTTGCTTTTGTAGGCACAATGTGTCGCAAATTCTGAAAAGTACTTCAAAGAAAATCGTGTCAAACATCTTTGACACATAATTATAAAATACATTAAAAAAAAAAAAAAAAAACAATACATATTTTATAAATACATATTTTATACATAATCGTTCTTATAAATACGTGAAAGCAAACAGATGCATCGATGATGTAACTTTTATACAAAACTTTAACTGTGCAAATGTTTTCGAAAAAAATAATAATTTTTTTTTTATTTGTCGGAGAGTATATGTTTTCGAATGTCCATCAAATTTTGTCAGCTACTGTATCATCGATTCATCCGATGCGCTTTTCCTCGTTATTTCCGACGAAGTGAATTTCCCTAAAATTCAAAAGCGTGTCGCAAGTAGAAGACTAGCTCTTGAGCTAGCTCATCAATGCAGTCTCTTTTCTCACGTTGATCTCGCTCGCTGCCACACACAATAGGCTCTTTCGAGACGGCCGTTAAGCGGCTTTACGCGGCGCGGTACAAACGGCAGGTAGCAGCGGATGTGCGTTGGCATTTGCTCGCACGAGCTATAAATAGAAGAGAAATCTCATTCCATTTCGATACGCGTGCCGCGAACGTGTGGTGAACGTGCGCGTATATTTCGCGTGTGGTAGTATCCGAGAACGCGGAGCACGTGTGCGTACACAAAGGTACGTATCCGTGCGTCCACCTTGGCCGTTGTTCGCCGTCGACATTTTTCAAGGTAGAAATCATGCAGCGGAAGTTATTCGCGAAATCGTTTCACTGTCAAACGGAGAGCAAAATTTTTTCTTTTACTTTGTATCGTTTTTTCCCGCGGTTTTCGTGTTGGAAGTCACTTATCGCGTTATTATTTTTTTTATTATTATGTAAATAGCGCGTTGTTAATTTTGATTTACGCTCTAAATCGCGCCGCGATGGCAGAACGACAACCACGGAGTATAGTCGCACGTGCTATTGAACGTCGTATTCTGGAAGCGGTTTAGTCATTGTAGATAATTAAACGTACTTGCAAAGCATGTGCAATTGCGGTTCCCGGAAGAGATTGTAACAGTCTTCACAGATGCGATCCAGACGGGCGAAGATGCTCTTGTCGTACACGCCTTTGCACTGAATATCGAAAAACGATCTTTTGCCCAGCGGATGGGCGTTGATGGTGGCGGCATCCGCACCCAGTCCGATGCAGGACGAGATCAGCAGGACTGTCAGCGACCACGTGAGAACAGACAGCAGAAACGGACAGAACGACCTCGTGGACAGCTTTGACGACGATGACGACAACGACGACGACGATGACGACGACGACGTCGACGTCGAGTACGGAGAGTGATACATGGCCGGCGAAAACATCGCGAGCTTATCGTTAGACGACGAAGATTGGATGTTTTGTTGACAATGCATCATCTGGAAAAGAAAGAAATTTAGGTTACACAAAAAAATAGCACAGTTGTTTCTTTCGTCAAATTATATAAATAGCACTTTGACTAATTCGTATGATTTATGCGAAATAAAATCGTTCTACGGTGCAATATGTTCGTAGAACTGTGTCTGTTTAAAATTGAAAAAAATTTAATTATTAAATAACAAATTATGAATTGCATTATTTTATATATAATAAGATAGATTATATAAAAAATTGAAAAAAAAACTAGCTACTTCCTAAAATATAAAATATTTAAACTCGCGAATTTCGCGTGAGAAGAGAAAAAAATACGACAGAGAAAAGTTTTCACGTTAATGGCAACTTATTTACTGATGACTGTTACCAACCGCTCTATATTTATAAGAATCGTATTATCTGTTCTCGCACATTTATGTCCAGATCTGTATAATCATCGAATTACAGAAATAACTGAAATGTTTTTCTTACGTTGGAACATAGTGTTCCATGAGCATGTCTACTTGAACGTGTAGATTACTCTTTCGTCAAAACACAATTTTAACGAATATGTTTTTACTTTTAATTGCGTAACTCGCAATATATAATATATGTTTCAGGAAAAATACTTGATTTTATTCTACATTTTTTTGAAAGCGATGCAAAACTTGTTACTCTCGCTCCATTTAATAATTAATGAACAAACAAAACAGAGCCAATAAAAGATAAGACGATAAGTCGCGAAATTCGACTAATGTCCACAATGATACGAAAAGTATGTGTAAATACAATATTTGATACATATTGTATCTCTTATATATATGTGCTAAATATTTTTCGCTCGTGACGACGAGATATTTGCTCGCCGTGGTTTTTGCGTGTGTTCTGGAAATACGTATTCACTGTGATGTTCGTTGTGATTTCCGAGAGCCGGTTTTACTGCCGAGACGGACAAGTCGCGTCAAAAATAGATATCTTAGCTAAATAAAACTGCCGCCGGCCGACACGTCTTTTAAAAAGAGTTTTGGTCCTCGTCTACGAGAGACGTCAGGTCTATAGATCGTTTTGGTAATTAGACATAGATTATCCCAATCTCGCGAGTAGTTTTTTCCCACGCGACTTTTTCAGAAAAATACAAGAGATTTTTTTTGTTTTTGTCTATATAGAAAAACGATATATATCTTTTAATATTTCCTCAAATATCGAGTCGATTTTCGAACAACAAAACGCGCGCGCAGTCGGCACACATTGAGAACGAGACCTTTAAAAATACGACTCGCTCCGGAGAAACCGGGGATTCGACTCGGTTAACACGTTGTCGGCACAGCCATTCGTGTGAGAGCGCGAGATCGCTCGTTGTACACGTAACGACGGACATACGTTCGGATATACCAATATACCCTATCACCCTCTCTCCTCCCCCACCTCCTCCTTCTCATTCTCTCGCACCGACAAACCGGCCAGGCCTGGACTCTGCGCACACGAGTTGAGATGTAAAGCAACTCTTAACCAGTCCTGCAGCAGTCGCTGTGAATGGACCACACGCAGGTAGGCCCCACCTGTAAACGTCCTCAACCGACAACTTCATTAACCGAGGCTCCAGCGCACGATTCACCACGAAGAGGCCTTCCTTTCTCGCTCTCTTTCTTCTCGCCCTCTTCCTCTCCTCTCTCTCTCTCGCTCTCGCTCTCGCTCTCCTCTTTCTCTTTCTCTTTCTCTCTGTGCCTCTTTCTCTTTTCCCCCTTCTCTCATCCTCTATCATCATCTTATTCTCGTTCATCCCGGGTCTTCCTTCTTCACCTTACCGCCACCTGCACACACGGGGAGAGCAAGCGTTTCGCAAGGTTCTTCTTTTTTCGGAACATAATCACCGCTCCCGGGTGGGATCTTATTTTTAGCCGCCAGGACGATTCTCGGAACTCTCCGGCAACCGCTCTCTTCTATATATCGGCGCCTCCACCTGGTAATTGGCCGCAGGCTGATAATTTGCCCCCAAAGTCGTCCGGATCCCCGAGATCGTTAAGACTCTCTCGTCTCTCCCTCTCTCTCTTTCTCTTTCTCTCTTTCTTTCTCTGCGTAAGGATTTCCGAAGCAGCCCTTAGGCCAGCTACAGACACATTACGACATCTTTCTTGTTTCTCTTCGGAGATCGACTTTCTCGGAACGAACGTGTCCGGTGTGAATAGCGATCGCGCGCGGCAGCGTCGTTTCTCAAAGAAAGGTGGATTTTCGCTCTCTTTGTTTCCTCCTCCAGAGCCTCTTTGCGATTTAATTGATTTCATTGAACTCGAGTTCACTCACAGCGTTGATTAGGATTGAGAGATCACGTGAAACCAAATACGCGTCCGGAAAACTGGAGCGTGAATTTCAAAGGCGTAGATATATATGTTATAACTGTTTGTTTTTCTGTGCGGATTATTTTTACGAGGAATTCCGTATATAAATCCCTTTTCGTTTTTATTCTTATTGCAACTCTCTCTCTCTCTCTCTCTTTCTTTCTTCGGTTCTTCGCTGGGAAACCGAGCGGGATTACGCGTGTGAGAAAATTTAACGCGGAGAAAACGAGGCGCGCGCACACAACACAGGCGCGCGTAAAAATGTCATAAATTAGACCCAGTTATACCGGTACATTTTCGAGTCCGGGGACTTAACTCTCCGCTTGGCCCCGATTCGATAATGGCGGCCAGTCGGATTTAAGCCCCGTGGGGCCTTATCTTAAATTTCTCGGCACATTGACAACCGGACCACACAGAGGCATAAAGTGCACCGATATATGCGCCGCGTTACCGTCGCTCTCGCCTCTGACACGACCGCGCGGGCCCGGTAATTGAGCCGGCTTATGTTAAAAACGGTACAGCGTGTATATATACATATGTACATTATATATATATATATATATATGTATATACATATAGAGGCTTCGGATCTCACGCGAAACATTCGACTCTCGTTTTACTTACAGGCAGATTACATTTATATTTTGTATCGGCGGACAGCGCAGGGAACCGGCCCCGTTCGGTAAGGGGTCTGCGTTTTCGACGTGTAAGTAATGGCACCTTTTAACCGGCCGATGTAAGCTTATGAAGGTATCGTCTTCATGATAACGCGACGCAACGATTTTACTGTGTTCACCGTAATTTACAGGGTAGAATCGGTCAGCGGTTAAAATAAAATAAGACGAGACGATTCTTAAAACCGGCGATTCCGAAAAAAACAAAAAAAAAAAAAGAAACAAATAACGATTCGGGATTTCGGTGAGAATCTTTGCGAGAAACTTCGTTCCGTTTTGATAGAATCCAGATTTTATATAAAAACTTCAATTTTGTATATATTTGTAATATTATTTATATTTAAATTATTTAATTTTTAGAGATTTATATATATATATATTTATTTATTTATTTTATCGCTCTTATACTTGTGAAAACAGTAGCAAAATAAATTGCAAAATTGCGTTTCGTAAAAGACTCGCAATTAGTTGCATCTATGTAGATAGCAGCGTCTCGATTCTCGATTGCGTTGTCCGCGAAAAATCGTCGCTATATTTAGACCGAACGGTCTGTAGGCGTAACACAGATCAGGTCAGTGCAAGTCACACTACGCAATTCGCTCGTGCAGATATTATGCGCGCAGCCTCTTTGTGTGCAAAGAATATTAACTGCTTTAACATGGCACGTAGTGCGAAATTACGTGCTTTCGTCGAATGCATTTCTTTTCTTATACTAAGTAAAAAAAAACATTCGTAAACAAAGAAAACAATTAAATTTTAAATCCAATTTTTAATTATAATCCACTTGACAAATTTGAATAATAGAACGTGCGTTCTTAAGATTTCACATTTTAATTTTTTCAAGATGCGCAATTTATGTGTATATACACGTACGTTCGCGAGGGAAGATGAAATATACGCGGAGGGTGACACGGCGAGGCAGATAAGCGCGGAAAGAGAACGGGGGAAAAAAGAAAGAAAGAGGAAGAGACACAGAGCACGAAAGCGTGCCGAGGTGCGCGCGGGGGATGCGCGAGGAAAGAAAAAGTCAATGGAGACCAGTTGCTCGATAGGTGAGGTCTTTCCTCGGCTCGGCCTCGCGCACAGGTGTGCAATCTGCGAGGTTCCCTTGGCAAAAAGCCACACGCTCGCTTCGGCACTCTACCTCGCGGCAGCTCGTTCGCGCATGTACAGGGTGTTCTGCAACGATCGCGTTGAGATACAGAAGAATTTTTATGCGAACGTGAACGTGACGATAAAAAAAACGAACATGTATTTTTTCTAATTTCGAGATTCGATTTCTCTATCGAACGTTAATTAAAACTGTTTCGTCAGTAAGAAACACCGAGGTTCTGTGAACTTTATATTCTCACATTCTTTTCCCGTTTACATTTACTCGCAGCTCAGTTTCACAATCACTGATTCTATCTATTTTGTACTAATTTGATCGGTGGTTTTCGCATTATTTTTTTGACATTGGACGCTGTCCAATTAGCGTAGCGCGTTAACGAAATCGTCGGCCACGCCTCTTCGTTCCTCGCCGACGAAATCCCCGTAACGAATTTCGTAGAGAAAACAACGTCTCCTTCTTTCGGTACTCGACGATAAATTGTGAAAGACTATATTTTCGGGACCGCATAAATCTCTCGTTCAACAAAATACGAAACGGTGTCCGGATTTGATTTCTATTCTTAGCCGCTTTGGTCGAGTCAACGACCCGCTCGATGAATGACACTAAGAGGATCAATGTTGGCGTCAGGGGCCGTACGTTGCTCCTTTCTACGTCGAATGGAGGCGGTGACTTTGAAAAGTCTGCGGTCATCGCAAGAGCCTTCCGCAAGAAAGCACCGCTCGACAAGCAGGATAAGAAGCGGCGAAACATGTGCAATTACCGAAACGCACTCGGGAGATGAGACGGGAGGAGGAGGACACCGTCCCCGCGTGTTCTCCTGCACACTCTCGTCGAGGGCGAGCGGATCCCGACTCGGGCTTCCCGAGGCAAGGTACGGGGGCAGGCGGAGAAGAAGCCGCACGAGG